TTATTTATTTATTTATTTATTTATTTATTTATTTATTTATTTATTTATTTATTTATTTATTTATTTATAAATATATATGAATTCTACTACTAGTCCTTTATCACCTTAAACGAAATAGGGTGGATAAATCTCATAGTACTGATTTACTGGTACTACATACATAAAAATACAGAGATTACGGATGGTGTTTTACTAACACTTTTTTTACTTTGAGTTGCATACTCCACCCTCTCTTTATACAAATTTCACATTTTTTAAAAATATATTCATATTCGTTAGAAGCGAATGCATCTGACTCGAATCTCTTTCATCTGTTGGCAACTTTTAGTCGTTTTGTGAGCTATTACAATTCTTTTCCTGCCCACCTTCCCTATTCCTTCAGATCACTGGGCGACCCTGCTCTCATACCGTTCGCTCAAAGTCGCCGGTTCATATCAAATTTGCTGTATCTTTGGAGCAGAACCAGAATATGGTAGACTCCGCGGCAGAAAAGGCTGGCCAGACTCGAGGCCTTCCTGTCGTCTGGCGATCTCCACCAGACGGCCAGTGGCAAAATAAAGAATCCGGCAGATCGGAGATAAGTCGGTACCCCGACAGCCGCGATCCGAATCACTTCATAGGCCGACTGCATCAGCCATCCAAACTGCAACGAATCGGAGACCGCCAACATAACCGGGTACAGGCCATCAGCATGGCAACCGGCGATGGCAAGGGCAATGACGGCATCATCACTTGCATCACAGAACGCACGTACCGACCGAAGTTCTGCAACAGATGCTCACCAGATTTTAAGTGTTGCTGGCCGGTGAAAACGAAGACCAAGCGACTTCGATTCAGATGCAACGACGGAAGGGTGATTTATCACTTCTTTGAATGGATCAGCATCTGTCACTGCGTCAAGACCGAGTGCCCAGAGACCTGGAATGTCAAGAACTAGATCTGACCATTTTGGGGTTTCGCAACTATAAAAGGTTATAGAAGTGGGTTGACCTCGTTTTTGCAACTTGGTCTTGTTGTCAGGGCGACTGTCCAAAATCATCTGCCATAGAAGTTATCATAATTCATAGCATCAGACCTCAGACTTGGTACATTCTCGTAGTCGGCATCATCGGTAAGATACAAACTCGTCAAAGATTGACTTCACTTGTCTCTTTGACAAGTTTGTAGCTGTGCGCGGAGAACGGCAAAACTCTATTATTAAACAGACTACGATGCCGGTGAAACGTCTGAGAATGTACCAAGTACGAGGTCTGATGGATAAGGTGTGTTTTACGAACTCGCCCTGACAACAAGATCAATTTGCGAAAATGAGGTCAACCATCTTTTATACATCGAAAAGAGATTGCGATCATACCAAATGCCACACCATCCTGGTCTTCATATCTTCTGTAAATGTCTATGCTTGGAAATATAAATTACTATGAATCGGATGATTACACTATTCAGATGCCAGGAGAAGCTATGAGACTGTCTGTTACTGCATTTAAACCGACCTTGAGCTGACTTTCTTGAGGGCATTTTTTTCAGCATTCTCAAGAAGGATTTGCTGTAATGTCTTTAAGGAAAGCGCTTTGCTGTTATGCCTTTATTTTGCCATTCCCTGCCTAGACATCATCTAGAATGAGGAACACTTCCTACGAGCGAGCTTTAGATGTCCATCTCAACTCTGTGAATGATCCAAGCTCTTGGGTGAGTATGAATCAAGTGCCCAAGAGACTTTCCATCCCACCATTCTAGCCTCTTGTAGACACCCGCTGGATACAACTTAATCTCTATGAGGAAGCAAGTGGCACGAGCCAGTTTGTGTGATCATACAAGCTGGTTCAAATTGCTTTTATTTTTATCTTCACACATTTAACGAGATAGAATGCAAGATCTTTCAAGTTGTTGAATTTTTCAACCAACTATTCTTGCTTCCTATTGTATCTGTTCAAGTCTGTTGTCGAATTCCGGACAATCTTGTACAAACTTGAACTACAGTTACTGCCACTCCAGCAACTACTGCTTTTTCTACTACTGTTACTTTGTTGTGATCCCGAGCCATGTGGCCGCCAGCCCAATTGGTTCTTTTCAACCTGCACTAGCTGCAGTGTTATTCAGCAAAAATATTGTCGGTGTGAGTATGAATCGAGACTATCCCTAATTATGGAATATATTCTTTTACACGTTTGCCCAATTGAGGTTATTTCAAGATTGAGAGTGAAGTTTTTCCCACAATGTTGTGATTGGGCCTCACGATGCTATTGGATTTCACTTGACCTTGCCTCCGAACTGGATTCCTTCCCAAAAGTTATTATCATTCGGGTTGAATCCCCAATCGAACATTGACTCCTAGGCGAGATGGAAGCTGCATTCCGACCGGAATGATAAAATGCCTTCAGAAACAAGGCCAGAATTTAGTTGAAGGTAATGAAGGACTGGTAGTTGAATTTTCCCACAATCCATTGAATTTCACACAGCCTTGTCAAGATTATACGCGGCAGTGTAATGGTTCGAGTTCCGCTAGTGATGTTGTTAAGACTAAGGCGAGCTCAAAACTGCGGTCCACTTCAACCTGAATGATAATGTCTTTTAGGAAAGCAAGGCTATGTGGAATTCATTGGAAACGTCAACTCTACTCATATCGAAGATGTGAAGACCAAGATGTTGTGGCCTCGGGTATGGTCGCAGTCTCCTTTCTAGAAGTGGGTTGACCTCGTTGTCGCAACTTGGTCTTGTGTTCAGGGAGACTATGCAGAACGCACCGAGTCTGAAGTCGTCTGCCATAGTAGTTGTCCTGATTCCCAGCATCTGACTGTGGACTTGATACATTCTCAAACGTTTCGCCGGCCTCATAGTCGGTATCATCAGTGAGCCTTGCCATTATCTGC